GAATCTCCACTAAGACTTGGGTAAGCAGGCACAAACTGCGAGCATATGAACTGTCGACCATGGAATTCATTGGCTATCATGGACTCAAACGTGTAGAAGATGGGGTTAATCCATCGGATCCAGCTAAACCACGGGATGTCATGCATCTGTGGAACAGGAATTACGAAGCCTGTATAGATGACGATGGCTAGAACTAATACACCAGCCATGGCCATAGCTTGCGCGAGGGTCTTGGTTGCAGCTGCAAGGGTCCGAAAGATCCCCGACATTGCGAGTGTACTGAGAAACGTAAATAAAAAGAAAATAAAAAATTGGGACGGCTCATATCGCTGTATGCTTGTATTAGCAACTTCTATATAGGATGGCTAGTCGTTACCTACCAATCCGGCCAGGAAGTAGAAGATGATGTTGAAAATCACAGCTGAGACCAGCTTCACTGGTATATCGCTTACGATGCCCCCAAATGCTTCAGTGAAAGGGTGGACAAAAGCGTAGGACGCCTGCTTCTCAACTATAGGACGCTGGTCATAGAGAGAGTTGATCTCGGTGATACTGATGAGAGCATTCATTCTAAACAGCGAGGTTAGTTCGGGATTTGGGTCTTTCATAAGATCATTTAGGTCACTATGACAATATATGATATCCAAGGGCATACGCACAAGACAGCAAAGAAAAGAGCGGCCCCTTTGCTATAGAATCCGGCCGAAGCAGTGGGTGTTCTATGAAAGTTAGAAATGTACTAGAAATAAGGATGGTATAGAAACACTCACCCGAAATACATGGAACCAATTATAAGAGCCATGAAAATTCTCCCGAGGACCGTTGTCAGTGTGGAGGGCTTGTCATTCCAGAGTCTAAGCTGGTCAGTATAGAAATGATTGCAATAAGCGTAGTGGAAGGATCAAGGAATGGATAAATACCGCTGATAAGCTCTGATTGTGCAGAGTTTGATTTGCATCGGAATTGAGATTATATAAGGGCTCTCCGGTCGAACATGCTTTGCCTGTTTAACTCTCTTCATTTCTCCAAAGTTTTGCTCCGCTTCTCCTCCCACTGGGAACTCCATATGATACTCATCGATTTCTCGCTGGAGCGCGGCATATTGGGGGCTCCTTTTCCAGTACTTCTCAAATTCATCTGGGGTGCGAGGGACCTTGCTCTCCATTCCATCCCGTGCTTGACGCTCCTGCGGGTTCGTAACGGCTGTCAAGAAATCCCCAGTAGTTTGGCGTGGTGGACAATGCCAGCCCATACCGGTGAAGTAGTCTCTTGCTTCTTCACATGGTCCAAAATAAATCTCTCGTCCTTCGTATAGAACGATAGCTTTGTCAAAGACATCATAGATTGCCTGTGAGGCTTGATAAATTGCAACCGCATGGCTTGTGCCAACCAGGTTGGAGGATAGCCGCAGCGCTTTGACAAACTCCAATGCGCTTGCAGAGTCCAGACCTCTGGTACTGTTATCCCATGCTCCCATAGGTGCACCAGAAACTGGTATAATGTCAATTGCAAAGTCACCAAAAGTAAGAGCGACTTATTACTTACGTGCCATTTCAGCTATACTGTATGCAAGTCAGGGAAGCACTAGCAATCATGATATACAGGGCATACTGACCTAACTCGCTTTCTTTCACCCCCTGAAACACCTCGAATATAATCATCACCCACTGTGCACCGGTATTAGCTACTTCGACTCTCAGGAGGGGTTCTAGTTTGCACATAATACCCTTTGTGTTGTATGTATGAAGTAGGCCAAATACAGCCATCGCAACCTTGGTGATGTGCTTAGCAAACTCCTGTCGCTTGAGCCCAAGTAACCTATTCTCGGGGGTTCTTGCCGCTGCAGCAAATTCCAACGTTTGCCCTACGGTCAAATGAGGGAAATGCTTATCCACCTCTTGGTTGTATAGAACCTCACCCTTGAACTCTTTATGCATCTTCTCCATGGAAACCCCATTGTACTGTATCTCAGAGCTTTCCTGAAACTTTAAGCCATGCAGCTGCCCACACAATGTTTTAAGAAACGTCGAACAGCCGCTACCAGGCCTCCCCAGAACAATCAGCATCTCGCCGCTCTTTAGGAGACCATCAAAATTGCGCAAGATGTGCTTCTCCGGGGACTTTTTCGCAAAGCTCAGCCATCCCTGTGGGCGGAAAGGCTCTAACAAAATTGATCCCACGGTGCTCTGATATTGCAACGCCGAGCCTGACCCAGACACATTTAGATTCTGAAATACGACTCCAGTCGAAGGAGGGCGTGGAATGCCTTCCTTATCCATCAGCTTCAGTCTCATGCGAGTCCATTTATACTGGTCAAATTGACCACTGGTAGGATCCAGGGAAGGGTGATCGAGGCCAATATCCTCAAGCGTATCTCTGCGTTGGAGACGAGATTCGCTCTCCTGAGAGCTAGTCGCGCGACGTTGCAAGGGGAAGTTTGACGCAATGCGCGTCAATTCCGCTCTGTTTTCGGGATTAATACTCTCGAAGACCGAGGCATCGTCGAATTTTGACCCCCTTCGCCGGTACTGCTGTCTCATGTCTGTCGCATCCTCTTGGATCGAACTTGACCGGCTGCTGCCGGTGCGTTTCTCCTCTGTCATCGCTAATCGTCAATCCAGACTCTTGTGATAAATATGAATCAACTAGAAAAGATGTCAAGTGTTGGGCAGGGTGGGTGTGAATTTATGTTCACGTTGTTAGATCACCAATGGTGCACAAGAATGATGTAAGTAGAATGCAATTGAAGCCAGGCATAGAAGTCGAGAAGACGGACAGCAACATTTGGGCGTAACAATGCCATATAAGGAAGGCCACGCATTGCGTGTGTAACAAAATTCATCACTAGTGTATTGCAACCTACATTGACTGACTCTGTTTATGATGGCATGATGGTTTGCTAATTAGCTTGCAGGCTGGCGTTCAATTCGTCCCGCGGTAAGTGGTGATGTCATTGATATCGAGATCCAAATGCCTCAGAAAACCTTTCTGTGGAGCAAACCCCAGGATTTCCGCACTAGTGAATTGCATCTTCTTAACCTGAGTGGTCGTTATGTCTGTACCTATGGAGCCACCAGGGGTCATACAGAAAGGGAATGCTGCGACCTGCCGGATGCGACACAGAAGATTCGTTGGCGCTGAAAGTTGAGGAAGCTTATGGACCTGAAAAAGCCCTAGCGATTGGGCTCCCAGCTCTGAGTTTGTGTTCCGCAACCGCATGCTCGTACAAACTTGAATATATAGTAGGGTGAATTGGGGGGTATGGATATCAAAAGCTGATTTTATACTCTCATTCACGTAGTCTTATAGATACTACCCGTGATCCGATAACAATATGATCAAGCCGCCACTTTCTATTCTAGGTATTTAGTTTTTTTTCCCCCCTATATTGTTACTCTTTACCTATCTTCCGAGTATTAGTATTCCGTATCTTCAGCCTCAAAATCTAATTCTGCTTGCGGGCCCAGCTTCATCGATCTCACGATATATCGTGAATTGTATTAGTACTAATGGAAATACCTCCAATTATACTCTGTACTGAGTCCGTACTGTAAATGTAAGTTAGGTAAGTTATCAACGTTCCCCACCCTGTTGGATCTTGGACTATAAGTGGCGCACTTGCATCTTTGCCCAATCACAGCTTTGAACTCACCCCACCCAAATATCACAAGAGCAAACAGAGCAAACATTAAAAAAAAAAAAAGATTATGTCTGTATGATTGTCTTCGGCATATCAGTTAGACCTACAGCAAACAACAAAGCTACAGCCATGACAGATCTACAAAAGACTCCCTTCGTCAGGGAGCTCGCATCTAGCGGTATGTTCCAAAATCAGTCAAACTCCACCTCAATCGCATATGCCCACCTTTGCGACCCCAAACCCAAAGCTAACCTGTATCGCAGACAAGAAAATCCGGGACAAAGCCACCGACTCCCTTACTCTCTTCCTTCGCTCGAGAACCGACCTCTCTCTCATCGAACTCCTCAAACTCTGGAAGGGCCTGTTCTTCTGTACGTCCCGCGGTGCTCCCGTGCCTACATAAACCCGAGGTTGAAATACAATTGTATATCGAGAAAACTACTAAACGACTCAATTAGGCTTCTACCACTCCGACCGCCCACTCACGCAACAAGCCCTCGCGCGGAGCCTCTCCTACTCGCTCGTCCCGACTATCCCCCGCTCCGCTGTCCATCGTTTCCTGCGCGCATTCTGGATCACCATTGGCCGAGACTTCCATTCGCTGGATCGGCTGCGACTGGACAAGTACCTGCTTCTGATCCGTTTCTATGTTGGGGTTGCTTTTGAGATTTTCCTGAAGGGCGCGCAACAAAAGGCCGCGCAGGACAAGGACAGCAACAAGAAGCGGAAGAGGGAGGCTGAACAGAACGGAAAGTCAAAGAAGCGGTCGAAGGGAAAGAAGCAGAGCGTGGCTGTCGAGGAAGAGGAAGAGGAGCAGAACGATGAGACTAAGTGGGCAGAACTGGAGTCGTACATCTCGATCTTAGAAGAGGGCCCGCTTTGCCCGCTTAACTTTGACCCCGACCAGCCTCCTACTGATGAGAAGAAGGATTATGTCGCCATGCCTCATGGCCCTGATGGGTTGAGGTACCATGTTATGGATATCTGGATTGATGAGGTGGAGAAGGTGCTTGAGTTTGAGGAAGGTTCTGATGGGGTGCGGAAACCGAAGGGGGATGTCCCCATTGAGCTGATCTTGAGACCTATTGAGAAGTTGCGAGCCGACAGCCCGTACAAGCCTGTTAGGACTCGGGCGAAGGAGACGTTGGAGGATGAGCGATTAATCGAGTGGGGATTCCGGACCCGGAAGGTTGAGTCGCATGAAGAGGAGGATAGTGACGAGGAATGGGGCGGATTTGATTGATTTCGATGTATTACTAGAAAATTTGATGACTATTGTGGGGGTTTCATGGTGTTAATTCTTTATATACAATTATGGCGGTCGCATATTATATTTTTTTTCTCACACTAAAGGCTCTTATTGCTGGTTCGGAAATACATATATAACAACAATTGTCCTTCCATGAACTCTATAGTATAGTTGTCTACATCACGAGCTATAGCTGTTAGCCAGCTCTGGCTCACGGTATCAAGCTAGCAGAGCCTTAAACCCAATTGCATTAAAAGCATGCCTGTGCTTCCTCGAAAGTCTTGCGCGCGGGTATCATAAAATGCGAAGACCAGTAATAGTAAATATATGGATACAACCAAAAGACATCACTAACGACTTGCTTCTCCATCATGTTTCGTCTTTACTTGAAGCAGGGCTTTGTGTCAATGACATTAGGGCCTCGGGCCCTCTGCCTCGTAGAGATGTCCCGATTTAGAAAGCACTGTGCCAAGACCTTTATGGACTTCAGCCTGGAGAGCTTCGAACGGGATGCTTTCACCGTCAACGCTGATATAACCTTCCTTCTGACGAGGGACCAGGCGGTAGGCAGCAGCTTTGCGGATCTTGACATCGGGCATATCAAAGAACTCATTCTCGGGGATGGCGGTCATCATCTTGAGGGTCGTAGTACGGGAAATTGTTCCGTTAATGGTGACAATGTCCATTAGCCCATCGTTGGGCACGGAGGCTGGAAAGAAATTTGTGTCCTTGGACACAATAGCCATTTTGCCCGCGTAAAAGTTGCCCATTTCTTCTCCTGGAATAACTTCCCAATCTTTGGGAAGATCATCTTGGACCGTGCCGTATCTAAGCTCGGGAAGACCCTTGGACTGTCCTGCAGTCTCTTCTGGGGAACGGCGCGGGGCTGGGTTATTTGCGTATGTATTGTAATGGTCTTTGATCGCTCTTTTATCATCAATCTCCACCTTGATGGCGAGATCGCATGGGTACACCGTCCGTTGCATAATACGTACAAGGAAACCGTACGTGAAACGGTGAGCCCCCATCCATCGGATGTTATCGGTTCCCAGGTCTGATTCCGCAATGACACCGAAGGATTGAGACAAGAACGACAGAGTCCGAGTGTTCCCTTGCGTAAGCGAGACCAGATCCATAGGCGTTCTCAGGCCTTTGACAATCGCAAGCGCTGCCACTGAAACATTGCCCGTCCCACAAAGGTTCCATGCCATGGCATTGCCAGAGCCGCAGGGGATCATGGCGACGGCTACTTTTGCTAGTGCTTCTCCAGCATTCGGTTTCTTTCCTAGACCATTGAAGACCTCGTACGGCAAACCATCACCGGAACAGCAAACAATAGCATCATAGGCGTCAATATCGATTTGCTCCACAATCTCGGTGGCGTGGCCCCGATGTGTTGTTTCCTGGACATCCACAACACAGCGCGCAGCTGCGAAGACCGGCGCTGCATGTTTGTGATAGCTCTTAGAGGCTGCACCTTTACCGCCAAATGGGTTGACCAGAACTTTAAGTCTTTTATATCGTTGTGCTTCGCCATATGCAAGGTCTAACAATTGCGAAACCCACGTCTGCGCATTTGTCTTTTCTTTCTCGGTGATCGGGTACTCAAGGGCAGCCACGGAGATGCTGTCTTTGGTAGCGGCTTGGGCATAGGTGATGGTTAGGCCCGCAGGGGAAATATCGGCATCCAAAATATTATATAGCCCGATGGAATGGGTAGTTTTGGCTGTAATGGTTACAGTCAGTCATATTGAACATTTGTTTTGAGTCGATGGGTGTGTTAAGTTTTCTTCCTGTGAAGCAAAGCGCGACAAGAAAGAAAATCAAAGAGAAAATAAAAGAGAAAATAAAAGAAAAGAAAAGAAAACGGAAGGAAGGTATTCAGTGCGACATACATGACTTGGCCACCAAGCCACAGCATGCGCGCTGATCTTTTGACTTTTGGCGCTCGTCTGTAGCACCAGAGTTAATCAACAAGGAATTCTACAAGCCATTGGTTCCTAACCACGTACCGACAACAAGAAGGGAGTCACCCCCGATAGTAAGAGAAACCGATTGTGCTACCGTCAGGGTTGAATCGTGCTGCAGCAATCGTTGAGAATCCGGCTGATCCGCATGGTTGAAAGAAGCGCCATTGGAGGGAGAAGTCATGATGTTAGTACGTTGGGAAGCGAATATCGCATCCTATCAAGGGATGGGGTAAAGGGAAGAAATGAAACAACTCTGGCAGGGGAGTGATCAACAGGGCAGAGACGGAGAGAGAGAGAGAGAGAGGAGGAGGTAAAATAAGTCAATAATAAGTTATCAGTTACTAGAAGTTAAGTACGGCGTAGTATGGAAGACACGGGCGGAGAAATGGGAAAAGGCTAAAAAAAAAATAGAAAGATTTAAATTGGCTGACATTTGGTTTCATTTAAATGTTGCAAAGGCCCACCAGTTTCCCTCAGGTACAGCTGAGTACTGGACGTTTTTCTCCTTGGAGTATATCTTTCGCCATTCGGGGACCTGACAGGGCGGACTTCCCCTGGTGATTCTTTTTTGTTCATGGTTGTATTGTAATGACAGTCGACAGTCATTTGCCCACCTCATTTATTCCTTCAATATACTACGAACTACTTCGCTATCACTTCCGGCACTTCCGCGCGTATTACTCCACGTTTTGAACATGGACTGAAGAACCATAGCCATTGTCGGTCCCCAACCATGTTTCTTTGAAAATACCGAGCCCAATTATTGGGTCCTTTCCCCTCACCATGCGTAATGAACCTTTCCTGAAATCCAGTGGCCCTTCCGTTGCATTCTCACCCAAGGTTGGGTCGGGTCGTGTCAACAGCCGAGGCATCAGCGATCTGCGGGGTGTGGAGACAGACCGACGGATACTTCAACACTTGAATGTAATAAATAATAATACCCCAATGAAGTATGTACATAATAAATACATGGTTAACTGTATGATCCACTGATGGACATTCTGTACGTTAGTTGACAAGGGGGAACATTCCAGGAACCTCATTAAAGGTCTATTTGTAAAATTCTTTCATTTCAAAGAAGGGGAAAAAAAAGTCTTTTCTCATCCAGTACAACACGGTAGAAAAAGGAAACACGTATAGTCAAGAGATTCGTCCATCAGAGTCACACTGAAGAGAGAACAAAACGCAGATCAAATACAATAGATACTATGATAATAAGATAGAATGTAAAAGGGTAATCAACTATTCAAGCGCTGGTCAACATCAATTAGGCAGCCGAGGCCTTTAGGCCTTTCAGGGATCCCAAACTCAATGCCAGTCCCTGTGAACGGCTTCTTATCCGCACAAATCCAGTGATCGGTCCATCGTCTCCTTCCTTCTCAATGCTCAAGTTTGCAAGTGCATCCTCGCCTATGACACCGTTAGCCGTCGTCCAACGAAATACTCCTAACACGGGTTAAGTATACATACCAAATACGCTCCGGGCATATAGATTAGCACTCAAGAATCGGCAGTCTCCCTTCAGCGATGCTTCTGGCGTCAGGCATGCCATGTTGGTGCTGTCCATGAGTTGCTTGAGGAATTCGCGGAGGCTCTTCGCCTTGGAGTTGATGTTGACCTTGTTCTCCCACTCGAATTCGGTCCACATAGTCCGGAACTGAGTCTCGGTGCAGTGAGCGGGCTGGATGTAATCCATGATATCGGCATGGATGTCGTTGAGAATGACAACGTGCGACTCGGTTGAGCTGGCGCCATCATACACGATGTTACCAAAGATGACACCGGTGTCTGTGGACGATACCTTGACTGTAGCCTGCACATTCAAGAAATCGCGAGGTCCGAGGTTATGGGTTGCTGGCCGTTCAACAACCTTTAGGTCTCCAAGTGTTGCAAACTCGACTGACAGATTTTGCAGGGTTTCCAGAGTTTGGTTGACCAGAAGAACATCCAGAACAATATCGAACTGGTGAACGGTGACGTAGGCCTCCGCATAGACGGGATCAGAGAACCCAGTGAGTTGTACCACACGGCTGAGTTTGGAAGAGACAGTTTCCACCGTGGAGTCCCCACCAGTGGCCTTGGCTAAATCAAGCTCAATCTCTTCCGCGCCTTCAAGAGCGTTCTTCTTGGAGAATTGCCGGATAGGGATAGCGTCATCGATCTGCACAGCACTCTTGGCCTTCTCGACTGCCTCCTTAGCAGCTCTCTTCTTGTCCTCCACCTGGACCATGGCCCGGAATGCCTTCCGGGTGTCCTCCAGAAAAGTGGTTTCCAGTTCCTTCCTCTCAGAAAACTCAGCAAGCGAACGTACACAGCACATGATACGATCCACTGAATCCTCGTCAATAGGGGCCTTGACGAAATGGGATTGGCCGACACGAATAATCGAGATCATGATCAGCATTGCTTCCGCACGCAGTGCGTTGGTCCGAGCAGCATCCTCAGAAACCTCAGAATGGCGCATCACCAATTTTGTCAAAGTGGAAGAAAGAACGGTTGCTAGGTAGTAATCGCCATCCAAGATCAATTGACGGAGAGGGGGCTTCTGAGCAGCTTTGACGGCTTCAAGCCTGGCTGCAGCCGCGGACTGGCTAGTCAAAGCGCTTTCAGTAGCATACGTGCCGTCTGCCAACACCTTTCTGGACCCTGTTGGCGCAGAAGGCTTGGCATGGCCATTGGCCTGTTCCTTGAGTGCACTGTCCTCTGGGGTTTCGTCGAGCAACCGCTGTTCCGAGGCCAAGATAGGGATCTCACCCAAGCTAGCTCTGATCTTCTTCCAGGCTTCACGGATGTCTTTCTCTTCCAAAGAGTATTCACCGACAACCCACAAGACACCGCGGTAAACCTTTCCGGCACGGACCTCACTCAAAGTCGACACCAGGCGATCGACGATGGAGGCGCGCAGGTTAGGAAACTTCTCCACGACCTCCTTGACGAACGAGATCACATCAACGGCAGAGTTATTGTTAAAGTCCGCAATGAAGTCCATTAGAAGATCAACAACGCTAGCAGCGATCTCCGAGAACTTAATGGCACAGTTGTGTATCGATTGGATAAGAAGTTGACGATACTCGCTATTCTACATAGGTTGTCAGCTGGATGCTTTGTTGCAATGGAATCGGAAACATACCTTCTCGTATTGCTCATCTACAGTCTTGGCGAGCTCTTTCTTCAGTAGCATGACAATTTCTTCGACATTCTTGCTGGAGACCATCTCCAATGCGATACCAAGGGCCTTCCGCCGAACGTCGATGTCCGGGCTGGAAAGGACGCGTAGAATTTCCATCGTGAGATCCTCCAAGACACCTTCATTGCGGATCCTTAGCTGGTCAACCCGATCAAGAACAATGAGCTTCACGTTGTTGTCGGCCTCCCTGATGCATAATTCGATTAACTTCTGGGCAGCAGCCTTAACGGCTACTGGGTTACTGGTGAGAGCAGTAAGGGATGTCGCAGCCTCGTAGATAACGGTACTGGTTGAAGCGTCTAGGAGGTCGAAGATCAATTTCAGGTACCTCGCCTGCCGTTCGTTAGCAGCCTGTAACAGCCTTCTGCTCTTCGATGACCCACCTTGTTCTGAGCGTTCTGTACCGCATCTTTCCTGATAAATTCAAGCTCCGCCAGCTGGAGGAGTTCATCTGTATTCGGAATACTGTCGAATGTAGAGGCCAAGTACTCTAGGGCTTTCTGATGACTGATGGACATGAGAGCTGCGAAAGCATTACGCTTGCACGTGCCGTCAGTCTCGGTGTCGAGGAACGTCTGGATGAGTTCAGGCGCATCGGGAATAAGAGCTTCCGAATGTTGGAAAATAGAAGCGACAGCCCACACGGCATTCTTTCTCACATAGGCATGACGGTGTTCCAAGCATGAGCGGGCTGACGAAAGGAGGGGTTCAATGAGTTCCGGCTCTCGGAGCTTGCACAGGAAACGAAGGGTGTTGCCTCGAATGTATTCGTTGGGGTGCTGAAGGTCATTGCGAATACCGTTGCTGCGCAGACGAATGTGCATTAGAGCAGCCACCAACTAACGGCCGAATGGTTTGCCTTACCAGACCAGGATCATCTCTTGCTTCAACTTGCCATTCGCATCGAGCTTTGGGCAGATTTCGTAGTAGAAGTACAGCAGCTTCTTGAGAGGCTTGCTCTTCGAAGGCATCACAAATCGAATAATGTGCATCAAAAGCTGGTGCATTGGATCTCCATTGAGCATGATCGTGATGATCGTCCTCATCGTGTCCATCTTAGTTTCATCATTGCCCTTCTCCAACTGCAACTTCAAGTCCTGTATGGAAGGCTGATCAGCCGTGTTGTCCAAATGGACAAGACTGTATGCATTTTCTAAGAACGACGCCATGGTGACGAGGGTTTAAAAAGTGAGCGGCCGTGGCAGGAATGGGATAAGGAGGGAGGAGAGCTAAATGTGGTCAGTACAACAGACTATTGTTATTGATTGGATCCTTCAGGGGAGGCGGGCAGGGAGAAGTACCGGAACTACTCTCCTCAGATGTACGAAGCAAACGGTAGGAAGAAACTTGAAAAAACAATTCGACTCCCCTCACCAGCCTTGCATTCACCAGCATGTAATGTTGATCTGAGAATCAACGTTGTCCATTTGCGCGGCGGAGAGCGCAAGCTGTCCGGAGTGTGTGGATGACTAAGCCACCATCCCGTGCAAAGGCCCAACTCGACCCAGGCACCGGCACCTAATTTACAGCCAACGACTTCTATTGTCTGCCGCAGCCGTTACTGGTGGAGAGAGCCTGGAGAATATGTCGACGCAAAACCAGAACGAACCTTTCTACCTTCGCTACTAGTAAGAAATGGATACTCGTTAGCCCAGGTTTCCTCAGCTGCTGACAGTCCTGCAGCTCAGGTCACTCTGGGCGGTTCGGACATGAATTCTTAGGTTGGTGTTGCTATGGCATATTGGCTTTCCTTCAGGTACTAACGATTATTAGAATTTGATTTTCGCTCTCTTGGTGATGGTCGCAGTGCTGCCGTGCGGTATGCAAATAACTCCAACTACCGCAATGACTCCCTTATCCGCAAAGAAAGTGAGCGCTAGTAAAAGAACTCGCCGTGAGAAACCACACCGTCGCTAACGGGAATGTTATAGTGTGTGTGAGCTCGTCGATGATTCAGGAGATCAAACGGATTATCAAGGATAGCGAGATCATGAAGTATGCGATAGGTTACTATGTTCAGACAAAAAATAGGATGTTAATGTGAAACAGGGAGGACGATTCCAAGTGGCCCCAGAAGAACAAGGATGGACGACAGGAACTCGAAATCAGACTTGGAAATGAACATATCTCCTTTGAAGTACGTTTTTAGCCCCGGAGTGTTTGGGAACAAGGGACGAGTATTAACGTGCACGACTTTGCGCAGACCGCG